GTGAGAGACAGAATGTTAAACGAAATGATTGTTTATGAACAAAACTTCTTTAAAGGTGTTTGATAGGCCTTGATCTGTGAGATGGATTTAAAGCAAAGAGATCCTAAGAAATCAAGCCGAACAGCTCCAAAAGCGAGCAAACTAACGGGACAATCAAACACATTTCGTGTGTGGTAGGCGATGAGCGCTATGCACATTATTATCATAAAATGCATCATAGGCATACAGAAAGGGAAATGGGGTCTTTATCTCCATGTGGACTTGAAGGGCACTCACTCCTCACTCGACTTAAAATACGTATAGACTCCTCAATAATATTATGTGAGGCAGCGTGGTGAAATCAGGCACTCGTCAAAATAACCAACGTGAAGAAACTAACATTTTTCCGGAAGGTTGTGAATTTTTATCGAATTTATATTTTTGGTAACACACGCCCATTAAAGTATACATTCCTATGTGGATTTTACTGAAAAACCTTGATTAAAAGCACACAAAAAATGTAAGTCCCGTTTCCATGGACTCTCAGGCTAAGGAAATAACTCATCTTTGGTGGCCATTTTCTCACTAATTTTACCTCTAAATCCAGATGACTCTCACCTCCTTCATTTGCAAATATCTCGACTTCTATTCAAGATAAATGGATATCTCTTTTTTATCCGAAGCAAAACAAATGAACAAGCTTTAATATTATACCAATAACTCTACACGCCCAAAAATTGACGAGCGCTTGATTCCGCTGCGTTGCAACACATATGCGTGGCGCCATAGGGATGGCATGGCGAGAATAGATATTGTGGTTGTAACAGATGAGTTGCTTCACTATAGCAGACATCATCTTTGAGCTGTCACCCTCACTTTAAGAAATTTGGCGTGATAACATGGAAGGTTGTGTTGGTGGTGGTAGTCTCAGAACCCTGGGAATTACCGTCACTTCAGTGAAAGAATTATGGGACACCCGTGAGCCACTGAGTTGAGGTTCCTTTAGAAAAAAAGTTTAGAAGATAAAGTGCCAGGGTGCTCTCTGTATTTCTCTCTCTTTTTCTCTGTCTGTCTGTCTGTCTGTCTGTCTGTCTGTCTGTCTGTCTGTCTGTCTGTCT